CGGCCCAAATGTTGGCAGCGCCCCGCCAGCGACAGCGCGCGTCCCGGCCCGCCCGCCCGCGGGGCTGGAGCAGCCTCCTCCTGGGCCGGCCGACACGCGGCTCTTCCTCTTCCTCCTGCTCGGGATGATGTCGCAGCGGGCGAGGAATGTTTTCCCTCCCAGTGACCCCAGAAGTTTCCCTTCCAGCCCGCCCAGCTGAGAAGAAAAGCTCCCCCCCTTCCCCCTTTCCTTTCCCTTCCCCTCCCCGGCTGTCTCGTGCCTGCGGAGGCAGAGCCCCGGGCTGCTGCGGGGTGGGTGTAGCTTGAGGGAAAGGAGGGCCCTCGTCTCCCCCGACCCTGCACAACACACCGACTGCAGCCGGGGCTGCGGAGGAAATGGTGAAGGAAGAGAAGGGAGACCCGAGAGGACAGATAGGGGTCAGGGCTGGAAAGGGAAGGAAAGGCAGCAAGTTTTTAGTGCTATCCACTGGCGAAGTGCAGGATCAGGAAGGAGACCATGGCAGGGGGAACCAACCTGGGACGGTAGGGCCGTTTTCCTGTCCTTTGTCTGTTCACATCTCTGGGCTGTTTCACTCACTGGGCAGTGTCCGTCCGCCAGCTCCTTCGAGAGTCAGGGGGCACCGGCTGGGACCTCGTGTGGACCCTATGACCTTCATTCCTGATGCTGTTTGGTCTTTCAGTTGTCCCAAGCCATGGGGTGACATGCCCGTCATGCAGTGGTTCTTAATCTTTTTTGTACCCCATTGTACCCCAGCGTGCATGGCATGGGGGGCCCCAAACAGCCCCTGGTGGGCTGGAACGCTGCCCGCCTGCAAGGGAAAACCCACAGTTTTCCACATTTTCCTCCTTTAAAGGAGAATGCATTTTTAAAGTTTGTTTGCAACACTTTCATACATTGTCGTGACCCACTTTTGGGTCCCAGCCCACAAGTTAAGAAACACTGATCTAGTGCAGCCCCTGTTCAAGGCAGGATCATCCCCGACTAAAGCACCTCAGCCAAGTGTCTGTCTAACCTGTCCTTGAAAATTTCCAAGGACAGTAATTCCACAATCTCTCCAGGCAGCCTGTTCCAATGCTTGATCACCTTCACAGTCAGAAATGACCATAGTTCCTCCTGGTCTCTAACCTACATGTCCTCTACTGCACTTTGAAGCCACTGCTCCTAGTCCTGTCCCTTAACAGTCACAGAAAAAGGCCCATATATTCTTGCAACCTACTTTTGGGTCATGACCCATGGGTTGAGAAACGCTGCCTTAGTGCTCTCCTTTATCAAGGGGCATTTGTAGCTCTATTTGATGGGCTTGGGCCCATGCTACCAAATGGCACATCAAAAGGCCTGGTGCTTTTCATGAATCTGCTCTCTCCTTTTTGTCCCTGAGAGACAAAAAGCATCCCTGAATGAAGCAGCAGCATGGGTTCTTGAGGCATGTTCGCCAATATTCAGCTTGCTTCATCTTTCCAGGGCTGGCTTAACCCATAGGCAAACGAGGCACAATGCCTGGGGCCCTAAGTGAAGAAGGGGCCCAGTTATGCTTATTTTTCATATAATTATTGAATGAAAAAAGTAAATATACAGTATTAAGTAGGGCACTTTTGTTTGCCTAGGGCCCACTAGAGGGTTAATGCAACTCTGCATCCACACTCCACTCTCCTTCCCAGCAGACTCCCTATTCCACACAAAGACCCCCTGCTTTCAAAACCCTTCCACCCCAGGGATGGATGTGCCTCTAGTCAGCATGGGCATCTGTCAAAACTGGAGAGGTTTATTTAAGAACAAGCTTTGCAGGGCAGGGTGCAGGGATCTGCAAATTCGGCTAAATACCTTGTCACAAGGACATAGAAAAGGAAAGGGAAAGAAACGGTTGTCTAGATGCTGAGAAATGTGGGAATCTCCATAGAATCAGAATAGAAAATGCAGGTTGGAAGGGACCTCAGGAGGTCATCTTGTCCAACCCTGTGCTCAAAACAGGACCACCCCCAACTAGATCATCCCAGCCATTTGTCTAGTCAGGTCTTAAAAATTTCCAAGGGTGGAGATTCCACAAAATCACTCTGGGTAACTGTTCCAGTGTTTTACTACCCTCTTAGTGAGAAAGTTTTTCCTAATATCTAACCTAAACTTCCCTTGCTGCAACTTGAGACCGTTGCTCCTTGTTCTGTCATCTGCCACCACTGAGAACTGCCTATTTGCAACCACTCTTCAGGTAGTGGAAGGATGCTATTAAATCCCCTCTCAGTCCTCTCTAGACCAGTATTTCTTAACCAATGCTCTAGACTAAATAAGACCAGTTCCCTCAGCCTCTCCTCAGAAGTCACAGGGGGCCCCAGCCCTCTGCTGAACTCTTTCCAATTTGTCCACATCCTTTCTGTAGTGGGGGCCCAAAACTCAACACAGTACTCCAGATGTGGCCTTACCAGCGCTGAATAGAGGGGAATAATCACTTCCCTTGATCTGCTGGCAACACTCCTATTAATGCATCCCAGTGTGCTGTTAGCCTTCTTGGCAACAAGGGCACACTGTTGGCTCATATTCAGCTTATTGTCCACTGTAGCCCCAAAGTCCTTTTCTGCAGAGCTGTTGTCCAGCCAGTTAGTCCCCAGCCTGTACCGGTCAATGATACTTACTGCCCCCAAAGTAAATGGAAGTTGCATGCACAGAGATGTCCTTTATTGGCCAGTACTGCCCACGGACATTTTTGATTGTGGAATAAGTCAGCCCCCTCCCAATCCCTCCCTTCCTGCTGCCCATTTAATTAAAAAACAGCTAGGAGCCCAAATTACTGTTTCAAGCAAGAGCACTATAAGGCTATCAGGGCAGTTACATTAAGAAAACAATTAACATGAAAATGAAGACCAATTTGTGACTCCTTACAAATTTGTCCAGTCTGCCCTGCCCAACCCCTGAATACCCAGCCCCAGGGAAACAAAATGTCCTTTTTGCCCTCCCTCCTGTGAGCAGCCCAAGGTGGGCTTTGTAAAGGTCTTTGGCAAAAGGAATTCGGCTCCACTGAAACCCAGCAGCTTTTGACAGAACACAACCGGGGCCGGGGTGGACACTTTCCCTAGTCTAGACAGTAGTCAGGAGTAAGGGGGTTGTGACAGGAGGGGGTGGAGGTGGGAAGGGTCCTTTTTTCAATAATCTTGAGGTCTCTGCCTTTACCTGTGCATTTCCCAAACTGTATGGTGCACCCTCCCTGGATATGTGTGAACAGTTTCTGCAGGGGTGCCTGCGAGTCACAGCTGCAACCCCTGCTTTAGCCACCTCTTCCCTCACTACCAGTTCTGCCAGGGAGGAGGGGAGTGGTAGTGGCAGCTGCACTAGGAAGGCAAGAAAGTACCTGACTTCATTACAGTGAGGTGTAAACCCATAAAGTTTAAGAAATGCTATGCTATGTAACTCAACAGCACGCTAAAGCTGGGTTTTTGATGTGACACCTGTGACTCATGATGACCAGGGGATTCAGTCGACAATCTTACTGTAACTCAGCGGCTGAGGATGCAAGTATTGGGCAGTGACAAGAACTACGCAGAGCCTAGTGGGAGAGGTGCTCTGAGGCCATTGCAGGTGAAGCAGTTTAGCATAGTGTTAGTATTTTTCCACTTTTTCAATCCACCATACTGGGTATTGCATTGCTATTTACCTTTGAGGTAAATCCTGCTGCCTTTAAAAGCACTTTAAAATAATGAAAGGCTGAAAGATGATTGACAGCACTTGTTAAACCACCTGAAGCTTCTGCTATCTAAAATACTCGGTTGTCAACCAGGAAGAAAATTGTTTGTTGATCGTTCACTAAACCATTATGATGCTTCAAGTCATGTCATGGTGAACCAGGTGAGCCAGAAAACAAATTGTCATTCTTTCTCTCTCTCCCTGCCACCTACTCTCTACATCCTCTTGATTCAATTTCTGTCTCAATACAGCTCAATCTATTTTAAAGCATAACAGAATATCAGAAAGGACAGCAAACCAAAATTGAACCACATTTCTCTAAGCATAAATGTTTAAAGCCATTTATGCATTGTACTTGTATACTCTTCATTACAGATAATTATCTAGTTTTTAACAATTCTAGACTGGTGATACCCCCAATATTGAACTTTACCAGCTGAAGTCCATTGCCACAGCATTCAGCAGAAACAGGACAGAACCTCTCTTGGATAGATAAAAGTAACCTCAATAAATACCCCTGAAATCTATATATAAATTCCAAATACAGTTGCCCCAATATCCAGTGAAATGCAAAACAGAGGCCCACCCACTTCACCTCATTTCACTACAAAAGGTTTTTCACATTGCTGACAGGCCAGAATTCTCTTCAGTACTGGTTATTAGCTATTTGGAATATTCAATGTGTTTTGAAGGAAAAGGAATTGATATGAACCTTTGTACTGTAGGAGGAACTTAACACAGTTCTTTTTGTTCAGTGGAGGCTTTTGTAATTTCTTTCCTTGTTCTAGTCAATGGTAGCCTCCCAAGTTCTTCAATGGAAAAGCAGGGAGAGAAGGCACTTCTTTCCCTGTAACAGTTGCTGTGGTAACCCCCAAACCTACACAACATAAGGAAGTGAAACTTCTATGAAGACAAGTGTTAAAACTCATTCATTTGGAAGATGTCAGCCTTGTGTTGTTTCTAAATAGCATAGCAAAATAGAGATACTTTTTGAACCCTGCTCATATATATATTAGTCCAATCTATATTATAATGATCTATATACCTATCTATCTATCTAGCTATCTGTTTCATTATAATATAAATTGGATGGACTTTTGCAACAGGTTGTGGACCCACCAGTCCTACTTCAGTCAACAGGACATAAAGTGGTTTAGTGTTTTTATAAAGTCAGGGTCGCTCATATTTC